TAGTGAGTAACAACTCGAATCTTTAGTTGTGAATTTTTGTCTGTAAATATTCGCGGGCTGTTACCCAAGTCCCTCCGCTCAAAATCGATTACAATTCTTCGACTTTTAACCCATTACATCATGGTGAAAGCCAAGCTTTTCCGTCGTCAGCTAAGCCAAATGCGTTTCAACGGTGGGCTAGCACCCAAGAAGAAAAACGGATTTATTGTTACTTATGGCCGACACTTTTAGAAGGGGAAAAGAGAGTTATTGCCAAAGGGGATGTCGTTTTGACAGGGCGTAGCTCCGTTGGCTCCTATGTGTGACAAGTTATGTCTACCGGCATAATTGTGCCTCAGCTTAGAATGGAAGAAATGTCTCAGTACAAGTTTAACTGGAGTAACATTCATTCTTACTAGAATAAGAAAGATAGTAAATTAAAAAAAAAATTTGATTTGTTGATTTTTGGAAGGATTTCTCTTTGCCATTTCGATTTTACTTTTGAGACTAATTCTGTAAAACTCGTAGGTGGATAGGAACAAAAACTTATTGAATAAAAGTCAAGTTATTCTATGTGACTGTATAGCAAATAAGAACAACGTAAATAGTGGACTGAACACAGTTCTACCGATTTGAAAACGGCAGGAATATGAGCTGTGCATGAATTTTATTCTTTTGTCATTTTTCTGTAAATATCCGGCAATTTTAAACAAGTTCATCATGGCTGGAGCGGTTTAGTAAATTAGTTTTTTTACAGTATTATCTGAATAAATACATCGGTTTGGCTGGCTAATTTAGACTTTTCGCGAGCGCCCCTAGGCTATAGTTTTAGTGTGTATAGGTATCTTTTTCATAATAGGTTACCAAAGCGAGTGTTTAGCTCTCTAAGACGCTAGCCCTTGATTTTTAAAATTAGTCGGAAAATTATCCACTTATTTCAAGATCAAACTCCCTTGACAAGAGCCTACGAAAAAAAGTCGCATGCAGTGGTAATGCCAATTTTTAACTGACTGGCGTAGTCAAAACTGAACTTAAATGCAGTTTTGCTCGAGTTTGTAGTCTCACTCCTTTCTAAGAAATCAAGAGTTTGCAATTCAGTGGATATCTTGACACTCCACTGGGTCTAAGTATTATAAGATTTCTAGCAATCTGGCGTTTCAATTATGTAATGAAGTTCAAAGATGCCTCAAAATGTCAGGTTTAGTTGCGACGGGGATTTATTCACAATGGACACCATACAAGGTGTCTTCTTGATCCAGTGATAACAAATGTGGTGTCTCTTAAACGTTGTCAGGTTTGTCATATATTCACTCGGGGACTTCAAGTCTTCTCCGGCGATTTTTGGTTTTTAATCCTTATTGCACAGGAAGTCGAGATAAACCGTGGCAGTGTTCCCACTGCTTCTGTCTATTGCAGTAGCTTTAATCTCAGTCCCACCAAACTCTATGGCCAAGTCAATCATTCGCTTGGTTCCTTTCGCAACGTCAGGCGATTCGACGACAGCCTCTCCTATCGGGTTGCTAACTGAAGCGTCTGTCGAATATTTGGCGTCAGGATCGGTCGAGGTGAAAAAACTGAACCTTGCAGCTGTTTGACTTCCTTTCAGTAGGCGGTAATGAGCGAAGACTTTCTTTTCACCTGTCCTCACAATGTCATTCTCTTTAACAAGAACCTCAAAGCAATCTTTACAGTAGGCTACGCCGTCAACGAAGTGCTTCTTGTTAATTGGATGAAGACTGGGATCAAACGGGTGGTTAATCTTGAAGCCATAAGTCGTAGACATGATTCTGGAGTCGACAATGTCAGGTCTTTGGCCAAACATCACAGCACCTTGAACAACTGCAATGCTAGCGTTGCTTGGAACGAAA